TTTTATAAAGAAATGTACTAGACATTTTAATTTTTATGTTACTATATATAAAATAGCTGTTTATTAATGAATTATAAATTTAAAATAATTTCGTTGGTTAAAAATTGATTTAAATTCTATTTAAATAAGTAAAACATATATTAGATTTTAAAAAATAAACAAATTCATGAAATATGAAATTGCAATAATTGGTAATTTCTAGAAAATGATTTGAAATACTAGTGAATTGCGGATATAACACATGATGATATATATAAAGAAAAGTGATGATAAATATAATACTTGAGTGTGAAATCATGTATGAGATGTGACCCCAAGAACTGGACATTACATGTGTATAACTCGACCAAAATAAGGCGATTAACTCACAAATTATATGCTTTGAAAAATAAATTGCCGCAGAATTATATTCTTTCAATTCATATAAATCATAATTAGATGTGTTTTGTGGTCTCAGAGATTTCTCTGACATCAGTTTTCTATGCATTCAATGTCTGCTCAAAAGACATATTAACTCTGATATCAATTGTTACGAAATTCTTTCAATTCATATAAATCATAATTAGATGTGTTTTGTGGTCTCAGAGATTTCTCTGACATCAGTTTTCTATGCATTCAATGTCTGCTCAAAAGACATATTAACTCTGATATCAATTGTTACGACCGATGAACTCGAATGAAGTGAGAATCAGGTTTAGCAGCAAAATATGATGACATACCTGTTTAACGAGCCAACCAATTGTTAACTGACCTGTTATGTTGTCAGTCCAAACCCATTCCCATATATTCTAATTCAGCAATGTCTTTCATATTTCTATTACTATATTCACACACAATACAAACTGCAATTCAATTATAAATGCAGCATAGTTAACTGACCTGTTATGTTGTCAGTCCAAACCCATTCCCATATATTCTAATTCAGCAATGTCTTTCATATTTCTATTACTATATTCACACACAATACAAACTGCAATTCAATTATAAATGCAGCATTGTATTTTCAAGAATCTTAATCGACAGTACTGTATTACCTTGTACAGTATTGTACCCTGTTGTATTACCTTTATTGATCAAGATAAAACTAAAACTATAGAACTTTTAATTTTATTAAAAATATTTCATTTATAATTACCATATAACTTAAATTTGGTTTTATTTTGTTTAGAAACACTGGATAACACTGACAAAGTATGAATTTACACATGAGCGTAAACTTTTAAAGGTAAAATAAATAATTTTACTTTAATTATTAAATTCAAAATAATGCTATTTGCTTAACATTATACGAATAATTTTGTTTACTTAAAATTTTTTGTAAATAATAAATCACTTAACTATTTAAATATTTAGCTCATTATAAAGTGATTTAAAATCGTGTCAAACATAGGAACAAAAATGAATGCTATGTTTAATATTTGACATCTTTTCATACTACTGTGCCTGAAGTCCAAAACACAAACCATTATTCAATTTAAAGAATATTTAAATTCTTAAGTCATAAAAGAAGCTGAAATTCAATTCAAAAGAGATGAATATTGTATTCAAAATCAATTATTTAAAGTAAATTGAATTTAAATAAGAATTTTCTGAATATTTACATTAAATATCATTTTGTAAAAATAATTTTGAGTGAAATATTGCTTATACTTTTGAGCACAAAAAACTAAAATTCATTATTTAAATACAAAGCGATAGAAAATGTGGAGAAATTGAGTTTTTTGTAGACTTTTGTGAATCAATTTTGAATGAATAAGTTTATGGATTATTAACTTTTGACTAATAATTCAATCATTTCTCTCAAAACTATTGCCCTAAAGACTGCTTTTTATGAAAAATAATACTTTATTTGAATAATCTTTACAATGTCTGACAATTTCATTAAAGAAAACATTTGTTTGCTATTTATTTGAAATAATGAAATCAGAAATTGTTTCAGTGTATTTGTAATTTGTTTGGAAAAAACCATTGAAATCTGTATTGAATGCAACAAATTATTATATAGTTTTTGACTAAAAGCATCAGAAATTGAAAGTGAACTCAAGAACTCAAATGGAATATTGATATACAGGCTGAGAGAGAGAGAGTGAGAACTGAGTTTTATATCCAAAGGGTGTGGCGAACAGTGGATCCGATTATACATTACATGCATTTCGTTCACATAATATATNAAAATCTTTATTAATGGCTTAAAGTGTATGAGAGAAGAGAAGAGAAGAGAGAGAGAGAGAGTGGTAGCACTAGAAGTGTTTATAAGTTTCGGTGAGTTTAGGGGCAATGGATCTTTGGTGCCACCAATTGTTCTGTGCCTTTGAAGGTCTTCAGGGATGAGTGAGTTTTAGTGCATTTTTGCCAAAGCAATGGCCCCTACATTGACAATGGACTCCATGGCCACCACTTTAATCGTGAATCTCGAGGGAAATCAACCAACGATTCGATTCTCCCTAACATTCATCTCTTCTGCGAGTCTTTGATATTCTTTTTCTCAGTTTTTCTCACAAACTATTGCTATCTCTGTCTTCATAGACAACATATTAGACTCACTTTCAGTCCTTTTTAAACATCAAATATATTATGTGAACGAAATGCATGTAATGTATAATCGGATCCACTGTTCGCCACACCCTTTGGATATAAAACTCAGTTCTCATTCTCTCTCTCCATTATGTTTACACTTTAAGCCAACATTTAATTTTTGTGGTAATACTTTATTTTTCTTATATGTTATTTATCTCTCTCTCTCTCTCTCTCTCTCTCTCTCTATCAGCGCTTATGATTGCAACCCAACCGCCAAACACTGAAATGACTTTTGCTTTCAATTTGACTTTTTTTGGGACCAGTATTCGGTCCAAACCGGCATTTATTGCACTTTGAAAAAAAGTTCAGTCATTTGACTGCAAGAGAAGAAAAAAAAATGAATTCAATATTTCTTAAGATTACAAAAGAGATGGCAAATAATGGTAGACATCAAAATGAAAACCACAATCCATACTGGATTGCATTACTGGTACTGACAGTTCAGATGGCACTCAACGCTCACATATATATCGCAAATTCTCTTATGAATAGGGAATTCATTTGATTTTAGGTTTGCTTTGGCTATAAATTGTAAGAAATATTTTCCACCAATTCTTTGCGATGCAAACCAATTGTTTGGAATCCAATTTGTTTTTATATCTGATATACTCTTATGGACGCCACATATGCACCTCATATACTAGTCTCTCATATACTAGTCTCTCATATACTAGTCTCTCATAATATTGAGTCAATTGAATGTTGGAATCAGTGTTTTGTACTGATTTTCGTTTGGGAAAAGCTATTCTGATTTAAATTAGTTATGACAGCGACTGCAACGTTAAAGTCCGGTGCGATTTGACACAAAATTTGCTATAAAATTGACACAATTATTAGACAATATTCACAGTCCACTCGTTTCTAGACATCAAACACACGGAGAAATGAATGATTGAAATGATTTCTATACTAATCCCTCGTATGTTATTAGTTGAAAGACATAATAAATATCTGAAAGTGTGGTTATGGTGAAGATAAAAAAGTTACTGAGTATTGAGTGATTTGTGGGTTAGACTCAGCTATAGATGAATCCGTTATTTACGAACGAATTAGCGGACAATAAGTTTGTTGTGAAATGCAATAAACAAATAAGACATGCATATAAATGAATGCAATAATTAGTTTGAAAAACTAATAAATCTTTTACTAGTCATTTGTTTGACAACTTGTTGGCACTTAAAGTGGACTTTTTGTTGAGCGTAACGACAGTGTGTTGTGGAGTACTGTATGTCTAAGTGATGCCATTGAATGCCTAATTCGGAGGACAATGTCTACACAATTCACTATTCAATCATTTGATTATCATTTTTCAAAGTCATATGACTCTAAATATTAGTCCTTTACAAACATAGCAATGTTGTTGCCATTGTGATCAAGAGATTATTATTCCCAATGAATCTTTAATAACTTTTTTGCCGTTTGATTCTTGAATATAACAGTGGGATGTCTGGCCATTATTATGTGATATATGACTTCCTGAATGGCGTTTGCAATGCATTGAGTGAAATATGCACTCATAGGCAGTCGTATCCGTTAGTAGCGATGCAATTAGAAAATGGATAACTTGTGTAACACAACACAGTTTTGGAGCGGTTTAGCAGGACAGGGAGGACAGGGAGGACAGGGAGGACAGGGAGGACTGTAAGGACTGGGCGTTTTGTTTTCTATTTAATGTAATAATGTTAGCATCACTTCGCAGTGGTTTATGTGATGATAGATCACTTGGACCACAGCTTCCCAGCCATAGCCCACACACATAACTCTGTGTCTGAACGCACTGTACAATGAAAAAAGTTTTGCAATTATATTATGTATTATTATATGACTTAAGCAGAGAATAATAGTTAAAGTAAACACAGAATTGTTGTATCGTTTGACAGATTAGAGGCGAGAAAATATAAATTTAAATAATGATAGGACTGAGAGATGTTTAAAAATTAACGCTTAGGATGTAGTGCCGGCGCTTATAATGACTCTGTAGCCTAAATTGGATTCACTTATTGTTTTGTTATAATTACTGTAAAACTTTTAATACTGTATTACCGTACTATATATACCAGAATATATAAAATAATGGAAATTAATATATCCCTAAAAAATGAATGAAACAAATAAGTAATGCATAAAAGTTTGCTATACTCTATGGTATATCATAATAATAAAGTAGATGGAAATGGAGCCCATTTTTATAACTCAGAGCAAACGCCCAAATTTAATGCATTATATTTTTATTTGGGTGGAGTAGTGTTTAGCAATGGTAATACTGAATACACACTATATGTATTGTGTCAGAGATGCACATAAATATGCAAACATGTTGTGCCAATGGGACAGACAATGATGTATCGCAATGTCTAATGTCTATTCATTTTGATGGCCAAACACGTGAGCTCTCACTCTTAACCCAAAACTCCTAACAAATTATGTCCCGAATAGCCCTTCACTTAATGGTCGACAAAGTTTTCACAATTATTTACAACTGTTTCCCACCGATTCTCCATCTCTTAAGATATTCACTGCACCGACACTTACTCAGTAAGAGTGCCTGAAAGTGTACCCTCTATTGGGTGTCATAAACAAAAGTTGGTCTCAGAGCTGACGGTGCGCTAAATGTCCATATCTTGTTGCCATCGATAAGACAACTTATGGATGTTATGCCAGTAATACCAGTCCTTTACAGCAAATAAGCGTCAAATTGTTGCTCATTCTCTCCCAACACCTCTATATTAGGACTTATTCTCAGATCAAACACTAACTCTCCATCGGATAAAGGTTTGCAAACTTTGAGTTTGAATTAGTTTTGCTTAAAATTTGCCCCAAAATTCATTTCTCTTATTATTATTTCAATACAATTTTATGTAATTTATTTTCTCTTTTATATTCTGTTATATTCTGTTAAGGTTTGCAAACTTTGAGTTTGAATTAGTTTTGCTTAAAATTTGCCCCAAAATTCATTTCTCTTATTATTATTTCAATACAATTTTATGTAATTTATTTTCTCTTTTATATTCTGTTATATTCTGTTATATTCTGTTATATTCTGTTGTTTTTTGTTTTATTACAAACAGAATTGCAATCAATCTACAGAATCGTGAATATATGTTCACTGAATGCTTGAAAATAGTCAGGAATTGTGTTTTTATGGTGTTTATTATATTCTGTTATATTCTGTTGTTTTTTGTTTTATTACAAACAGAATTGCAATCAATCTACAGAATCGTGAATATATGTTCACTGAATGCTTGAAAATAGTCAGGAATTGTGTTTTTATGGTGTTTTGTGTTCATAATTACAATTACTCGACGACTTTAACTGAATGCAGTATTTGATGTGTGAATGCAATAAAATATTGAAGACATCAGTAACTGATGGTTGTGTCGGTCTGAGTGTATATGTGTTGTCTCGCATAAGAGGTAACGTAAAGATGTAATACGTTTAGTAATTGATTAAATTCTTGAGTCAAAGCAGATTTAGAGCGCCTGTAAAGCTGTCACTAAACAACACCAACAGTACTGCACATCAAATGCTTTTACAATATAACGTATTGTGTACTTAGGCTTAAGCCTCTAAAACTACACATCTTTAAAATCTTTATTAATGGCTTAAAGTGTATGAGAGAAGAGAAGAGAGAGAGAGAGAGAGAGAGAGAGAGAGAGAGAGAGAGAGAGAGAGAGAAAGAGAGGGCTTAAATGTCAAACGATGTCATCTTTATTACAACGAATGACAACATCTATTGCTTTATAACAATATCTTTTCTCCTTTACTAATAGTATTTTATTTTTATATTTTAATTAATTGAAGCATTTAATGATTGCAGACCTGATCACGAAATAGTCATTTTTACCAGTACCAGTATCTTAAACCTTTAAAAATGTTAATTAAATTTTTTTTAGATTATAATCATTATTCTAATTATTCATTTGCAGTTGTATTTAATTTCTGTTTAATTAATAACTAAATTTCAAATAGTAATCGATTGTTTTGGAGTTATTTTTAGAAAAGCCTATAAATCTTTAGTAACTTATAATGAATTATGAGAATCACTTTCTATAAGTTTCTGAGTCTAAGATTCTTTCTATTGTGAGAAACGCTGACATATATTCTCTATTCATGGCTTTTGTTTGTAAATCTATTGATTTCTTGTGTCTATTCAAAGGACAAACTCCTAATCAAACTCGAAGATGAAAACGATCCCCAATTGGCGACATCACCGGATGAAGAGGTATTGTGTTAGAGTTTTTCAAATCAAATTATCTCGCATTCAATTATATAGTGATAGACTAAACTCACTTTTTAGATACAATGTATATTTAAAACTGTCAAATTCGGTGCATTTATATTTTGTCACAACAAATGATATTAAATTGAATAAAAAATTCTTAAAGACATCATTAAATGATTGCAGCTTTTAGTTAATGAGAAAGATTACAGACTATAGTATTTTCAGTTAATGGTAAGACTAATGGAAAAGAATTATCAGAAAAATATATTTTGGAAATACTCTGGAATTGAGTTTATTCTATAAATACTTTGCAGACTTCACAAGAATCGATCATTTGAGACAAAAAATAGAGATAAACTAAAAAATACGGTATTCTTAATATGTTTTTAATGGATGACATCGTTTCAATCACTTCTATGACTTTTATGCACTTTTAAGACCTATAATAATATTGATTTCTTGTGTCTATTCAAAGGACAAACTCCTAATCAAACTCGAAGATGAAAACGATCCCCAATTGGCGACATCACCGGATGAAGAGGTATTGTGTTAGAGTTTTTCAAATCAAATTATCTCCCATTCAATTATATAGTGATAGACTAAACTCACTTTTTAGATACAATGTATATTTAAAACTGTCAAATTCAATGCATTTATATTTTGTCACAACAAATGATATTAAATTGAATAAAAAATTCTTAAAGACATCATTAAATGATTGCAGCTTTTAGTTAATGAGAAAGATAACAGACTATAGTATTTTCAGTTAATGGTAAGACTAATGGAAAAGAATTATCAGAAAAATATATTTTGGAAATACTCTGGAATTGAGTTTATTCTATAAATACTTTGCAGACTTCATAAGAATCGATCATTTGAGACAAAAAATAGAGATAAACTAAAAAATACGGTATTCTTAATATGTTTTTAATGGATGACATCGTTTCAATCACTTCTATGACTTTTATGCACTTTTAAGACCTATAATAGCCTGAACTCAGGAGGAGAATCATTACATTGTTTACTGATTGCATTAATTAATTAATAGCAGTCACTTTATTATACAGTGCTATACTAGTAAAGTAAGTTTATATAACCCTACTTGGAAATTTAACTATTTATTCATAAGATAAATAATGTATACCTCAAACCTTATTGAGTCGACACATGATCTAAAACCTATACAATTAATAGTTAATCATTTCTTGAATATACAGTATTACACAGTAAATTATAATACTTACAATTTAGTATTGTAATATAATAAGTAAATAAATATTCTTACGAGTTAGACTATTATTAATGAAAACTATATTCTTGCGAGACATTCCTAAAATAAAAACTGAAAACTTGTATACAACTCGACCGCATTAACAAAAATAAAACAAAAATTTGAACATGAACACTTTTGTTCACCGATAGTGTGTGATATGCATCAGTGCCAAAGCTACCATGCAAACTTATCCCTGTGGCCACCGAGTAGTTTGTCGAAAATGCTTCGTCAAAACGATTCAAATGGTTGTCAGTCAGCGAATGCTTCCCTTAAGATGTGTCATCTGTCGCTCAAAGATTCTTCGGCTTAAACAGACAAGTCATGGCGGACTCAATACGGGACACGTACTCAGGAGTGCCCGCAGTTATGCAAACACTAATCCATTCTATATATCTCCGGCCAGTAGTCCTGTCTCTCCTGTAACTGAAGTATTCCGCGAACAGAGATCTGTATTTGTGAGGCATTACGTCGAGTTTGGTTACGATCCCAATGGACAGAGTCCTGTCTCCAGCCCTTGTGAGGTATGTCTCTATTTCCAAATTCAACATAAATCACCTTTTCCTATATACTAAATACAGATATATATATATATATATCTTATGTATATATCTTATGTATATCTTTAATTATGCCCAACATCTTTATTAATTGCTGAGTAATTACATCTTTTTATCATAAAATTATATAATTTATTTACAGTGTATATAATATATGCTATATATTTATTTTTTATGCATGTATATACAGTATATATATATATATAGTAAATAAGATTTAAAGATCTTAATATTCAAGTCACGAATTGTTGCACAAATTTAACCATTTATTTAAAAATTAAATTACTGTATATATACATAAGAATAACTGAATGCAAATAAATAGTAAAAATTACAAGAATACTGAACAATAATTGTGAGAATCAATCAATACATCGATTTTCTATTTGTTTGAATGTTTTATGCATTTCTCGTTACATTCAGTTCACTCTTTTGACAGTAGTTTTGGGCTTTTCTATAACAAAGTAACAGAAGTCTTAGGCTTTAAATTCTGTTGCAAATTGGGTCACAATTTTGAATAAATTGCATTTCTTATCCTAAATAGAAAAATGATCTATTATTAGCAATTTAATGAGCAATATTTGGAACATAATTAACATAAAAAGAAAATAATTACAATTTTAGTGTGAAAACACAAAAAATATATAATAAAACAAATCTGAAAATGTCATATAAAAAATATCCTTGATGTATATTTGGCATATTAAAGGTGTTTTCAAGATCTGGTGGATCTAATTGTGTGCTCCATAAGCACTGTATTGAAAAGGCCACAAAAGAGTCGACTACCGATTTAGACTCAAATGCCACTTCTCTGCCAAACACATCCAGTTCCTCATCACATGAATGTGGGTCTAAAATAAGCGGAACACCATTTCAATGGCATTTTAACCGCAAACGCAAATACAGTCGAAGCCTACATCGACGTCGTGGTACTAAATCTGGTCAGCGATCCAACTCTTCGCGACCCAACTCTCTTCTGCTGCCAATCGATGAAAGAGAAGAATTGCAAGAATTGTTTCAAACGCCAAACGCTAATGATTTGACTCAAACCACTGAAAGCGAAACCTCTTTCTCGTCGTCGACAGAGAACGTGGAGACGGACCACAAATGTGACACCAAATCGACAACTCCTTCCAGCTCTTCGTTGTCCTCTCGATTGTCCAGAACTTTCATGAGAGCGAAGAAATGGATGAAAAGGGATAATATAGCGCACAGACAGACCCAGAGTTGAGTCCTCTTTGTTATACATGTTTAACAAAAATGAGTTTTGTTTCACATTTGAATCGATTTTTCTTAAAAATTTTCTTTTTAATTGATTTTTATTACTAAAATGAGAGTACAGTTTGCGTGCCTTTACTACTTTTAATTTTTTGAGTAGTATTACTTTATATTTTAATGAATTAAATTTACTTTAAACAAAATACCAATTATAACAATAATTAAATAAATACTGTATTAACATTAATGCAATGAAAACAATATTTTAAATGTTATAAATTGAAGCTCTTTAAAAATATAACTAGATTTCAATTATTATTTAAGATTCAAAATATTAATATAAATAATTAAAACTAGTTTACATTTTTAAGATTTTTAAAAATTAGTTAAATACCAAGCTACTAATCACTAGTTCATTCTTATAGAATTGATGAATTAAAATTTCTATAACTTTAAAGTATAGAATATTAGAAAATGTAAAAATAAATTAATTTTAATAATTGTTAAATATATGATCCCACAGATATTCCCCGGGAATATAGTTATTGTTACAAAATTTTAAGAAAACTGTACTGAAATGATAGATAATCATCGATAACTTTTAAACTAAAAGTTTATGTATCACTAAATTAGATTAAAAGTGACAAACTCGAAACTTCCAATTATAAAACATGATTTAATAATTATAATTGACTTCTATTGATATTAATAAATGTTTTAGGTATAAAGTCATATATAGTGAAAACTAATCAGTCCTGATATCTAATGTTATAAACTTTATTTAAATACAGAATAAGGAAAAGTAAAATAGACGAAGAAATGATACAAATTGTGATAGTTTTGTAGATTTCGTTTTACTCAATACATTAGGAAAATAACATTTTATTTTTATCAATTAATTAATTCGGTGTTAGTTTTGAGACGATTTAAAGTAATGACAGAATTTGAGTGCCGGAGAGAGAGAGAGAGAGAGAGAGAGAGAGAGAGAGATGATAGTTAATTATAGAGAGAAAGAGTCTTTACGGCAGTTTTGCTGCAAATGAATGCCTTATAGCACTGAATATCGATTTTTGCAAATACTTTATGTTCTCTTTGTTATAATAGAGACAGATTTGAAAACAAAGTTAACAAATACTTAAATACAACGATTTTATGGCTCTTATTTAATTGGTTTCTATCAGTATTTACATTATTAATTGTTTCATTTTTTATTTAATGTTCTCTTTAGTTTTATATCTTTTAATTTCTTATTTAATTATAATTATATAATATATATAGAATATATATATATAACACTGTACATATAGCGTAACTAATTAGAGATATTGGTATAAGAATTCCTGGTATGAAATGAAATTCATTTGTTTATGTTTTAAATTATCTTTTCCTCATTTACCCCAAAAAGCTTTCATATTTAGGTTATTTTTCATGAAATTTAATACAACATAAGAATAAAGTATATAAATAATAAAATTAAAAGTAATTAATAATTTTGATTATAGAAACCGTCCGTTATTTTCCTTTAACTATATTTTATTTCAATTCTTTTTGATCAGCGTTTTCTGTATAGACTATTAATTTATTTGTTATGTCATAGAGTATAGTATATTCTAAATGATGCGAATCATAGAGTGCTATATAATATCACAAATAAAGTCTTTTCTTATAATTTATTGTCAATTTTATTCCTAATTATCTATAGAAAGAATTGCTCAAAGATTTCATGACCCGTTAAATGCTTAGATATAAACTAATAGAAAGAATTGTAAAAATACTAAACTATACTTTGTTCTCATGTTAATTAATTCTTTTGAAAATTAATTAATATAATAATAATAGTTTGTTATTTATGGGACAATTTTCCTATAACTACACAAATACAAATTATTGTTGACTATAGCAAAGTTTTCACAAACTATATTAAATATAGTATACTAATAGTCCTAAATTGTATCCAATTCCGAAACATTTATCAATAAAGTGAACATTATGTCGAAGAAATGAATCACTTAATGCTGTACTATAAGTCAGTATTAACACCGTTACTGTAATGTCCCGAAGCAATAGTTTATATATTACAAACATTGTATTTAATATAATTTATACTGTTTATAACTATATTTGAATATTGTTTGTGAATGCTTCTATAGAAAGATTAATCCTACAGATTTCTGTATTACTGTATTAACTGAAATGATTTTAATTAAAGTTAAAAGTAATGTAAATAAATATTAAGAACAATATTAATGAATTATAAGTTATGTTAGTTATATAGTATATGTTTGTGAATAAAGAAATATATTTCATAGTTAAATATAATTATAGAATAATAAGTTTTATAAACAAAATCAAAAATTGTTTAATTATGTAAATATGTGCCAAAATATTGATACAATTTAAATAAATTCAACAAAATTTAAATTGTATTTTCAATTAATTAATTAATTAGAAATTACTAAACAATACAATACACTAAAAAATTATGAAAAATTAAATGAATAATTAAATAAATCAAACAATTTTGTGTTTTAATTTATTTGATCATTTATAATAAAATCTATACAATAAAGTTTATTGAATAAACAAATAAAAATAATATTACAATTTATGTTTAATTAATCTTTTTATTCAATCAATAATTAATAATTTATTAAAACTGTTTTACTATTACTAACAATACTAAAGTTTTTCTATTTGATTTTAAAAATTATTTATCGTATTCATAGTTTTAAACCAAATCATATTTATATACACATATAAACAATATAATAAAGTATAGATTATGCAAATAAATTCAAAACAAGTGAAATGTTACATAAAATTAAGAATCAGAAAGATTATTTTTATCTAGACTTTCTGTATACAAAGTAAGAAAACATATAAATTACCTTGTTTGGTTTTTAAAAATTCTAGGACACTTAAGATAAGTATGAAATTAAAACCGAATTCAATTCTTTGTTAAATTAAAACTTTAAGAAAAAGCTTTTAGACATTTTGTAAGTATTGTTATATTGTTTAATAATATACAGTGTACTGTAGTTTTAATAAGTATTAAAAGCGCTTATTATAGTAACTAATTTAATATCTTAACATTTTATTATAATACATATAAAACATAATGTATTTAAAAAGCATTTAGAGAATAAAATCTTTAACTTAAAATGTGTTTATTGTTATATTAAACAATATTGAGTTAAATTACAGTATCTAAACTAATTTTTTAAATGTTATTTTATTTTAGAAAATGATCCTGCACAACATAAAAATTGAGCAGTATCAGTTAAAAAAAGAGTTTTTCAAAAAGTTATAAATAAATAAATAATCTTTTGATAAAATAATTGAAGAATAGAATTGATTTGGTATTAGAAATACAGTAATTATAATAATCGACTTTCGTATAAGTCTAATACCAGGACTTCCACACGATGTGAGCTCAACATTTGAGTGCAAAGTAATGGTAAGACATGACATGAAACTAACTAAATGAGTGACACTCATCTCCTTTGCCATCAGCTTATATGCCGACTACTCTTTGCTACAAAAGTCTTGTTATTCATAAAACTTTCAGGAATTCCTTCCGAGAGAACATTTCTTTGAATAAATACAGTATAAATAAAATTAATAATTCATAAACGGCTTGAAAATAAAATAAATCATTAATAATATAATAACAAATATATTCAGTAAAACTTTCTAAATAGAAAATCAATCAATTTATTCAAAAAATTTTCAGTGAATTAAATGATTCTTATTTCAATACATTTTGATATATATTTAAATAAAATAAAAATATACAACAATTTCCAATTGTAAAATGATTGATACATTTGTATAATGGAAATTTCAACCATTTATTTTGTATCGTAAGTGAATCACAAATAAAGAAAATATAACTACAAAAAGGTTATAAATAGCACACAAACTGTCTGTGAATTAATGATATCACAAGAATTGTGACTTTAATCTTATATACGAATTAAGTGCAAAAAACACTTCTGTATTCACTTCAGACTTATGTGAGACTTCACTTATTGTTAACACTTAAACAAACTGTCTGTGAATTAATGATATCACAAGAATTGTGACTTTAATCTTATATACGAATTAAGTGCAAAAAACACTTCTGTATTCACTTCAGACTTATGTGAGACTTCACTTATTGTTAACACTTAACATTAACACTGATTCAATTAAAAGAGAATTTATTTGAGACACACCTAAACCAACAAATATTCTACAAAACTCACGCAATGTTTGAAAATTTGCGTTTATTTTAACCAATTATGGTTAAAAAATTTAATTCATTTTTTATGTAATTCATATGAATAAGCCATAAGAATATATTTAATTATTTATCAATTTGTTGAGAGGTTTTATTGATTGAAAACTCAAATATTTAAAATTCAACATAAAATCACATTCGTTTAAACAGTTTATGATTTTATATCTTATATGAATTTGCAATAAATGACAGATGTATACAGAATTTAGCAGATATATGCTACAGAAAGCTAATAGTATTACGATAAACTATGAATGCTGGTTTTAAATATTCTGTACAACAAATTTTACTGTATTAAAAAATATATAACATTAGAAAACTTCTATTATTTAACCTTTTAATAAAAACCAAGTTAATAATAAGGTGACACCTAAATTAATTCTGTAAGTAGAGCATTTATATTTAAATAGTATTAATATTATACGTTATAAATTTTTTAAAAATCCGATATAAATCTAAAAATTAAAAGTATAGCATTTTTAACTATAAAATTAAAAAACTCTTAAAGTGTATAAATAGAGCTTGAGCACTTGATTGGGTTATCTCATAAAATGAGAATTTGTTGCCATTTGTGGAGGAAATTCTTGAGAGAGATGTCCAAAATCAATGAGTTATGAGAGTTTGGAGCTGAGAGTGAACTCTATATTATGAAGGAGTCATGAAATTCTGGTGAAACGACTCTTTGGTATCCACGAAGGAAACGATACTATAATAAGACTCAGTGAATGACTCAATGA